CATAGTAACAGAATTGCAAGAATATAAAATCAAGTGTAGGGACATAGAAAAATGCACAACAAATTTATACTAGTTCGGTTATATCCACTTATGACCTACACTCAATCCCAAATCAACCCAATTGAAATTTTCCACTAATATTTAATATCAAAAGTTTTACAATCACAATACCACATGCAATATATTTCTACACTATTAAAGATAGGGGTGTTCACAAAACTATTTAAAACTAAACTTTTTAAATAACTAAACTAAACTAAACTAAAATAAACTAAATTATTTTTTAATAGTTTAAACTAAACTATTATTTTTAGTGTAGTTTATAAAGCTAAACTATTAAAATTAATAGTTCAGTTCACTAAAACTAAATAAAAGCACCGAAGCATATTCAGGAAAACTACCACGTTCGCGGAAACGTAAGGTGTTCTGTTTGGACTGAAGAACTGAAGTACATTCACGGAAACCAAATGCCATGGTAGCCAGTTAAATATGGAGGAGTAGGAGATTTTTTAGGTAACAGTGCTCTCACACCCACAAGATGCAAATATTACCAATTGATTCTATTTCTATTTCATTAGTGACAACATACCTTTATTGTTTTCCAAAAGCAAATAATAAATTACATATCAGCATTAAAGCTAAGGGATTGATGTCAATGTAATATTTGTTTTGCATTTTAAATTATTTTAAATTTAATTTATAATTAATACTAATGATTTAGTAGTTCATTTAAAAATGTTGATTTTAAATCTATTTTTTTAATGTAGTTTAATTTAATTTATAATTAATAATAGTTTAATTTATAATTAATAATAATTTAATTTAATTAATATTATAGTTTAGTTCAAATTCCTAGAACTATAATGCACTAATCTAGATAATAGTTTAGTTTAGTTTAGTCAATATTTATTTTAGTTCAATTTAGTTTAGTGAACTATTTATTATAGTTTAGTTTAGTTTTCTTTTAGTTTAATTTAGTTTAACAATTTGAACACCCCTAATTAAAGAAACCATTTTTTGCACCCCAAGAAGCACTTACTTGTAGCACCCCACTACAAGATTCCTTTCTTAAGAAACCTACTTGAGAAAAATAAAATACAAAATTTAAGGAATGAATTCACCTAAAATAGTTTATCCTTTCACTTTAGGAATATGATGATTAATTCAATTCTTGAACTCTTTCTTAAGGTGACAATAAAGGTTAAATAACCTTTTCTTGCAAAGAAAAATATTTCTCAGGGTGTTTTCAAAAAAGATATCACAAAGATTAAAGTATTTCTGTTTTGAATATGAAAAATGATTTATGTATATGTTTTCTAACTGAAATAATCAATTATTTACGTAAATAATTGATTATTTTATTCTTGGCATCTCTGAAAATCAACTAATGATAGTTTAATTGATTATTTTGAGCAATGATTGATTATTCCACAAACCAATTTCTAAAATAATTGATTATTTTGTTAAATAATCGATTATTACAGCAACTGTCCTCAAGTTACTAAAAAGATAGAGCAAATAATCAATTATTGATTAAGATAATCGATTATTTTAAGTGAAAACTTAATATCTCAATTTTTCACACCATTTCACTTTACAAATCAATTTTAAAACTTATTTTCTTCTTCAATCATCATCTAGATAAAAATCTAAGGCTAAGTTACTTCACAAGCACAAAGCACACAAGCAACAAATCTTTAAATACACAAACAAGATACAACTTGCACTCTTTTCTTTCAAGAAGCTCAAAACATAAATAAAAAATAATAATACAAAGTTACATTCTTATATTTTCAAGAGGCTTATTTGTAATCATCAAAATCAACTAAGACCATGTCTTCATCTTAAGTTTGATCAACATGAATGATGTGCAAGAATTTTTATAAAGCATAAATATAAGTTTTCACATAATGCTCCCTTTTTTGTCATCAAACAAGAAGAGTTTGAATACCATCATTGTCAAAATAAAACAAAATAAAACAAAAGAAAACAAAGTTTGAACAAAAGTAAGTATGGGGAGGTGGAAGGGGTGGTGGTGGTAATTGTGGGTGAGTAGAGAGACATGGTACATGAGATGTCCTTTCTAGAAACAAAGTTTCAAAAGGGGTGTAGTAGGCATGAGTGAATTCACTATAATCTTGATTAAGATGAGAAAATTTGGAATCAAGAGCAGGTGGGTGGTAGCAAATAAGCTAAATGTGATGATTGGGGTTAAAGTAATAGTGGTAACCAAAGGTACTTCGGAAGGAACAAAAGCACGAAACATAGGAAAAATGTCATATAGGGGAATAATGAACCAAGGTGTAGGAAACTTGGATTGCTCATTGAGAAGAGCTTCAATGGTAGCCTTTAACATTCTCTTCAAGGCAAACAAGGCAATTACCTACTAGTTTCTAAACATTAAACGAATGGGATGTTCAAAAGGCCTAGTAGCAAGAATCCAGGTGTCATATAGATAGATGTTCCTCATTGGACTCAAAGAATAATGACCATGATGAACTCTAGTAGATTGTCGTTCCTCCACATTAAGTCCATGACTATAGGCTTCCTCATACAACTCCACATATGATTTTCCCAAAAGAAATGGAAATCCATCTAATTGAAGGATACACCTCCTTGAAAACACTATCCGTGCCAATGAGAACTATATGCAAGATATGGTGAGAGTTAGACGTTTGAAACATCAAGAATGGGTCTAGGAATCATCTTGTTCAAATATGTCAAAGGAAACCTCGGACAAATCTTATAAGGGTTGATCTTGAAAACTTTAGGCTTGTAGATGAGCATATATAATAGAGCTCTTATCTTATTCTTCAATAGACACTCCCCTTGAATCCTTTTTAAAGCACCAATGTCAAGAAGGTTTGGAAAGTACCTTTCTTCATTAAGGTCCATGTATCTAAATCTCAATCTTGCATCATAAATCTCCAGTTTCAATGGTGAGGGAATAGGTTCAATACTAATCTCTTCAACAAATAGAAGTGTCTTTGCTGGGATATAATCAAAGTCCCACATCGTTCAAATAAAAGAATGAATATGGTTTTATATACACACAAAGTTTTCATTAGTAGGAGACCTTTTAGGTGATAATCAAAAGCAAAATTATGAGGGCTTAGAACCAAAGAACAAAAGCTTCCTAGACCCATTCCTCATGTTCCAATAGGTGGAGGCAATGTGTGTGTGGAAACCCTCAATGCACAGTAAGTGGTATCATAGTTGATGATGTAACTGTCTCAACGAGTATGATTAGGCATGGCAACGGGGCAGAGTGGGGGCGGGTTTTATGTTCCCCACCCCCGCCCCCGCAAATTTAAACTGCCCCCGCCCCCGATATCTACTGGAGATAAAATCTAGGTACCTATTCTCATCTCTAGTGGGGTTCGGGTTTCCTTGCCCTGCCCCTGCCCCCGCTCCTACTTTTTTTTTCTTTTTTTTCTTTTCTTCTTTTAAATAAATATGAATAAATTTTTTAAAAAGTAAAAGAAAAGTAAAATATAAATATTTCTAATTTTGGTTTATATATATATAAAAAAAATTAATTATATTATTAAGCAGGGCGGGGGCGGGTACGAGGACGGGGGCATGGTGGGTATTAACATTCTCGTCCTTGCCCCTGTCCCCAATTTTATCAATTGGGAAAAACTCGAACCCGAACCCGAACTCGATAAACACGGTTTTTCCCGTCCAGATCAAGGCGGATTCAGACGGGTACCCACAAGGGCGGGTTAGATTGTCATTCCTAGGTATGATGGAGTTAGAAAGTGGATCCGGATATAGGATCTCTTGTATTGAAGGTCTTCCTAATGATGAGGTCATGTATGGAGAGTTTTATGATAACATAGAGGGTTAAGAGGCATATCTTACTATCATGAGTTAATGATAGAATGGTAGTGCAAATACCTAGAGTGTGATTGAGCTATATAGGTCACCATTAAATATACTCATAAACTAGCTTTCACTACAAAGGGGTTAAACTATAGTCTTTTGTTTGAAGAGATGATTGTTGACATACAATCAAAGTTTCACATTGTTCAAATAAAAGGATGGGCATGAATTTTATATAAACACAAAATCTTTATTGGTAAAAGATTTTTTGAGTAATAACAAAATAAAATCATAAGAATTTAAATTTAAAATAAATAATATTTGTGTGAAAATTTCCGGTGCACAAAAGTTTCATAAGAAAACACATAAATCATTTGGTATATAATCCCATGCTTAATAGAGTTTGGCCTCTAACTTGGAACCAAGCTAGTCAAGTCAAATCAAAAAGAACTCTCTAACTTGGAACTAAGCTAGTCAAGCCACATAAAAAAGAACTCTTGAAAAAGTTACTGATATTGCCCCGTATTCATTAAATATCTCCAGTTGTAATTGAGTACTTCTGATAGCTTGAATATTCAATCCAATGTCGTGGCAGAGTTGGATGAACTGGTGCAAGCCAGGTTTCCTCAATGATCAATGGACTAGGCTCAGGTTGAATCAAGTCCAATACACTCCATGGCCTTGGAGTAGAAGCAGCATCAGGGAATCTTTGATAAAAGAAATTATCAATAAACTTTTCTCAATTATCAAAAAAGTAAAGAGAAAGTTTTTCTTTTATCAGCGGGAAAAATTAAAACGGCAATTAAAAAAAAAAAAACAGTAGATCTGTAACTATAACTTTTCTCTGTTTGATTGATAATAACTAATTTCTCTTAAAAGAAAATGTTTCTCTAAACCAATGATCATCTCATAAAATTAGGGCAGAAATTATAATATTAGTTTACGGTCCTTTAACATTGAATTTCCCTAATCACTTATTTTTGCTCACTATTTTATTTATAATTTTATTTACATTCAATTGCCTACCTCGACCCTCCCTGTTATTTTATTCTTGTTTTTAGATTGATAAAAGTAAATCAAGACCAATACTTATAAATTCGACTCGATTCACTACTCTTAACTAAATTATTTACTAAAAAGTAGTATTTAAAATTCATTGATATGACAGCCATGGATCCGCAAGCCAAAACATGTAATTATCAATTTCTTGGTTCACTGAATAAGTACAAAAACTAGTAAATAAAAACTACTGCTGCTATATAAATCCATAAAATACAGTTTCAAAATTAAAATTACATATCCTCGTGGTATCAAACCCCACATTTAAATGCATCAGCCGCAACAGGAGGCTAGGAAGATTGCATCAAGCAGTAAACCATGAATTTCTTGAGAACAGGTAACATTTGTATTTTCAACTAAACAATATGCATTTGCAAGTTTTACAAAGACGAACCACAAAATGGATTGAAACGATTCCCCCAAAATTTGTCGTGTAATCAGAAACCTTTAATAACCAAAAATGTAAAAAGTGGGGAGATGAGTCGAGCTATTGATCCCATTCCCTACGGAACCAACACTAAATCGTTAGCCTCCTATCCAACATAATACATTAGGCCACCCTAACTGCGATGCCAGTGTAGACCTTGCACTCCGTAGTATCAATGATTATGTAATTTACAACTCTTGCCATATGAGAAACCAAGAGGGGCCGAAAGCAACAACTGATCCGACCAAAGAATCGATCAAAATTCACTGGCTTAAGGTGATGAGTAATTAGAAAAAAGTTGCAACAAACCGTCCAGTGTTCCAGGAGTGAATTTCCTAGCAAATAGATAACATGGCTTCTGAAACCCATTCCATAAGCAAGGCCACTTTTGTACTTGTCTCTGTAGCAACATGTACTACTTGTTAAGTCGCTTAATGCATTCTCAATAAATAAAGGAACAGAAGAGATCTCAGAGCATACCTTCTCATCACTGGTGACGTGCACACTAACATCAATGGACTGCAATTAAGATGGAGTTATGAATATCCATGAGCTCATCAATTAGAAAACAGTTGGAAAGAGCAGTAAAGCAGATAATTCATTATTTTTCCCACAACACAAGGAAGCTTAAAAAGTTGCTTAAATGACATGATTGTACTACATAAAGGCAATTGATTGCAGTGAGATAAACACGATGAGACTACATACTTGAATAAAAATATGCCAGTTTGACAGATTTCCAATTTTCTGGGGAAACTATAAAAAATTAAAGATAAATCATATATACGAAACCCAAACATCTATAGACATAGGCTACATTAAGGAGATTCTTCATCATGGTATCTTACTATCTTTTTTTCCAATTTTTCCAAAAGTCCAATGTTTTGTTTATGCTAAAAATAAAGGGGGGCAAAATTGTCATCAGAAGTTAACCACAAAATTGTGGTTTATTTACACTGCCTATTACTTAGCATATGTTTCGGAGTGAGATTTTAAACTAAAGAAAATGGAGGGTAATTTTTTTTTTAAACTAAGAGAATTATATAATGTTTATAAAATGAAAAAAAAATTAAGACAATAAGTTTTCATTTAATATATAATATTTTCTTTCATTTAAAAATTATTATATGAAAGAATATTTATTACATACATACATATATATATATATATATATACTCTTTTCCTTCCCCTCCAAAATACACACCCAAACATACCAAAGGAACCGTGTATGTTGCAGTAGCACTATACCGTAATATTCTTCAAAAGCTCAGACGTAACATCCTGGACCCTATATGATTTTGGATGCCATTTTCTCTCAGACCAGTCAACATGAGTTACTGACCAGTTCGAAATTCCACCAGGATCAACAATCTAAAGCAGAATCGTAAGCCAATTAGCTGACAGTTGAAACTGTAAAAACAGGCCAGTATTACAATAGAAATTCTCACCTGGAAGAAGGTAGGTAAGTAATGCTCATCTGCAATGCAATTTTTCCCATCCAAACCAGGCTGTAAAAGCACGTTAATGATTGAGCATAATCAAGTTTAAAAAATTATTAAACTTACACATATTTGAGAGTGTGTGTGTGTATATATATATATTTGCCACAATAAGATGTTCCTTTTTTTAAGTTTGAATTGCAGTACTGGATCTCTAGGATTTTAATTTAACATTCTGAATATCAATAGAAGCGCACAAAGAAATAATAATAACAATTTTATCATGTACCAAGACAATATGAATATTTTCAAAAGAGCTTATAACTGCATATAAACAAAACATATTAAAAATGAATTTTCCTAATGTAGGGAGTGAATTTTTAAAATGCATTTTTACAATATAATTAATTTTCTCAATATTCTTGTAACAGTAAAAAAAAAAAAAAAAGGCAGAAACGTATTCTTGTAACAGTAAAAAAAAAAAAAAAAAAAAAGGCAGAAACGTCTTCCCCAAAGAATCCAGTTCTTTATGTTTGAAGAAAAAACATCTCTTTCAAGGGAAGGAATATTACAGTATGTCTAAAGCTTAATTCTATCAAGTAAATGTATGTGATGATACAAGACTTCAGCTAAAATGAAGAATGCAAAATCAAAACAGTATTTATTTGCTAATGTCTATGTCATAGGTAAAGACACTCTCATGGCTCTGTTAGGAATAGCAGCAATTGTAAATAGTTAACTCTGTCAGCTGTCAGTTTCTGAGTGAGTTTGGCTTGCCTAGATTCTGTTAAAAGTGTTCAACTGATTAGTCAGCTTGCTATCTCTAAATATAAGTGCAATAGGACAAGGTACAGGAGTTGATTATAACTTCACAAGTATAATTCTTTTCATTTCCTTGATTCATTTTATTTTCTACTCCTATGAGTTCTTGTTAAAAAGCTTATTCACACTAGCTCTAAATATGCCATGATTATGAGATGGAACTAACTGCAGAATACATATATCGCATATAAAACTATTTCAAGTAAATCATATGCCAACGGCATGGCATGGCACCTAGTCAACCCTGTGCTTTGACTGTAAAAATGAAATACTACACTTGCTTGGTTTGATGGCCGTGCCAGTTTAAGACAAACTTAGTATTTGCAAGTACAAACACTTAAGAAATTTAATAAAATAAATAAAAGAAAATTGCTTTAAAATTTAATGGCAACAAAATATAAGAACTGCACCTGACAGTAAGCCCGAAATTTTGAGTAATACAGATTGTCAGCCATAACTATAATAGCATGTTGCCGCTTCAGTGAAAACCACTGCATCAGGAATCTAACAATGAGGCAGAGACATCTATATGGATGACATATTTAAATGAGCTACAAATTAAATTATATAAAAACAATTGTGCTCCTCCACATCGTGTGTGGTGATATTAAAGAACAATAGGACGCAAATTAGACTCCAGAGAAGTAAAAAGGAAAGGGGGGGG